CGGTCGAGAAGACGTTGATGATTTCTTGATACAGTGAATGTTGGCCTCGCCAAATGAGCAAGGCGTCACTCCACACTCAAGCCATCTGGTGTATAATTCCGACAGGATGGGTGCAAGTTCTTCAGAGAAATCCTTGTAAAAACTATTGCCAGTTTCATCTGTTCCGGATGCTTTTCCATGTTTGCACTTCTTAATAGCGGCTAGGACATCGGCAGAGTCAATTGCAGATACCACTTGTTCGTCATTTAACGACGGGGGCGTAGGAGCTCTTGCAAGATAACGCTCGGTACACTCCTGATCATCGAGATGTCGATGTAACAAATCCGCCCACCCATCAGCCATGTCATTAGCCAGATCTCGCGACCGATTGGGTCCGTATGGGGCGGGTCCGCCGAGTGAGGTAATAGTGTTGTCTCTAAACTTTAAGGACACTCGTGCAAAAACTGGTGGGTAGTTGCTTCAGGTCCGTATGTGTGTTGTCTAAGTAGTTGTTCCCTCTTCCGCCGTTGCCAATTTCTACGACATTCGGCCACCTTTTGGCGTAAAATAGTAACAGTTTCGTCGGTGTTACGGTTAGAGACCTTGGCCGCGTGAAGATTTACTTGGAGGCGTCGCAATCGATGACGATGACTATTAGTCATCTTCTGACATATCGTGCGTGAGTCGTTCAGTAATGCCCTGCGGAGACCCACTTTCCACACGTCCCACCAACGCGCTAGACTGATCGCCGTAGAGACATCAGTCGAAGGTGAATTTCGGACTGACTCAAGAATCAACGAAGCTGAGATCAGGGATTGCGTAATAGTGTTCTTAGCTGTGGAGTGCAACACAGCAGCGACAGGGTATACCCGGCGTGGTTTTCGCTGTTTAACAACTGTTTTCGGAGCTGCGAGACGAACGGTAACTCCATTGTGATCCGAATTTGGCCCAGGAACTGACATGCTGGTGTCTCGGATCCAATCGGACACCCTGGCGCTAACATACCAGCGGTCCAACCGAGAGCTAGCCCGCACTCCTCCTTGCAATGTATAGTTGTATGTGTGCGTTTGTGAATGAAACACGGAGTGGCCTCGCTCTGCTAGCGCAGTCTCTATGTCATCCTCAAGCACATCCACAATCTCCCTGGAATCCAGTAGACGCCGTAACTCAGGTGAATAATGATGGGTTCCGTTGGTAGTAACATGTGACCGGTCCAGACTAGGAAACAGAGTACAATTCCAATCACCCCCTAGTATTACCGGTCCGGCAAAGCTCTGAAGCGCTGTCGTGAGCAATTTGAACAAACTTTCTCGATCATTCCGAGCGCTTGGCGCGTAAACATTCAGTATCAAAAACTCTTCATTGTGTATTGTGACAGTCGAGCCCATCCAATGCGGTGTCCATGCCTCCTCCATCCAGGGCGTAATCGCCTGAATTGTCGAGTATGGATTGAGTAGTATTGCAACACCACCCCTACGCTTGGAAGACTCCGACCATAGCGTCATACCCCGTTTCCCATCTGAATTAAATCCCCAAGTAGCACAATAGAGTGTATCAAGTCCGTGTGCCTCACCGATCAGCACGTGCGTCTCCTGAAGCAGCACAACATCGAGGGGTCCCCGCTCGTCGTGCTGACGGAAGTTGGAGAACCATTGTGCACAAAGCACTGGGTCTTTAGGAAGGCCTTGGACGTTCTGGGAGTGTAGTCCAATTGAGTTTTCTAGCGGGCGTCTTGCCCGATCAACCGGTAGGGCGCATTTAGGTGGAGGGGACGACATAGTCCGGTCGGCAATTTCACGCCACGTAGACTGGGTACGAATTATCGCTTGTATATGTGCCGACTGCACCACGGACGCAGTATTTGACACCTCAGCGATGCCCTTAAGAGCGGAGGGGAACCACCCGATTCTCATCAGCGATAAGACTAATAGCCGTACTCCAGTCTACCTGTTTGGATACAACACTGGAGACGGCTGTGCGTATAGAGACAGAAGAGTGGTAAATGGACACTTTTGTCTGAGGCCATACGACCGCGAACGCATTGTCCGCTGGTGCCAGGGTAGGCAGCATCAAGCAGAGAACGTTTAACACGCCCCATCATCGGTAGCGATAGGGTCCACGACAGTCGCGCATAGCAACTCTGGGTGCAATTTACGAACTTTCCTCCAGCGTTGTATGGGGTCCGTAGTTTTCCACCTGATAACGCCTAGCTGTTGCGACGCCACCGCATCCCATGAGCTGCAAAACCGGCTAAGTTCCAAATCGACATGAGTAGCATACCGGCGAATGACCGCAAGCTGGGTCTCGCTATTGATGGCATGCCCAAAAGCTTTTAGAGTCGTTGGCGTCATGCATTTAAGATACTGGATTGGAAAAGGTAGCGCCATCACGAGTTCTACAAGCTCCGCAGTACAGTGCCGGATCCATTCATTTTGACTAAAAGGTGTAGTAGGCAATACGTGAGGAATACTAACCACACATGAGCGGTTCTCAACCCGCATCTTGATCGCCAGTAAATTGGCTGCTACGCATTGAGAACCCTCGGTCAGTGCAGCCGCAGCTATCATTGGCGACGCATTCAAGGGGGACTTGCGGACTCTGGACGCCGTGAGGGTTCGTGCGTGCTTGTCAGATGCGCGCGCGGCAAGTTGATGGCCGTGAAAAATCGTTAGCTCAAATGAAGGCGAATTCTCAACGGGAATCACCGCAGGAGCACTCAGCGGAGGAAAAAGTGGGTCGTCTGATTCAAAAGTCGCTGCGAGCGCCGCAGGGATCGGGACCTTGTCCTCCAAAAACGCAGGGTCTCGTGTGTCCGGACTCAATCCAGCGTTATTGGATTCGGTGTCGCCGAGCTCGTCTAGCCGCATTGTGTTCTGGGGCATGTATACCGACTCCATATGAATATCCACAACGGCTGCGGGCTCGCCTAACGAGGTGTTTGCATTATGAATTTCGCCATCTACAGAAGTGCGATCAAAAGTGTTGGGGCCTCGACAGTGGTGCCTGCTCGCGCGCTGGCGTGGTTCATAGATTCCGAGTCATAAGCCTCCTCTGACGATCCCGAAGTGGCAGGGTCTCCATTCTGACGGCGTTTACGCATCCACGTAAGGACGAATCCGAGAATAGCCTCTCTGCTATGCTGGCGTAATCGATCTTCTATCTCGTCAGGTGTATCACTGATAGTCGGTAGAGGTTCAACCGCGCAAGGAAGAGGTTCCATGACCGGCAATTCGGACGGAGGCAAACGGGCAAGTTTCTTCACCAGGCCACTGTGTACAGCTTCTGCTCGCGTAACGGCCTCGGTTGCTGGGCTCTCATTCAGAGACTGCAACGCGGAATCTATGTTCAAGGTCCAAAATAGTTGATTCCTCAACCCGATGCAGACCCGACGAAGCACTCGCGTCCGGGTCCGAGAGAAAGGCCTTTTCGATCAACACAGAGTTTGTGTCATGATAGGCAGCCTTCGCCAGGCTTGTATGGTCTCGTGCTGTGGTAGTAACGGACCGCAAGTTCACGCTAGTAGCGGTAATTGCATCCGCTTGAGTGGATAAGTATGCACGCTTGACAGAGAGTTTTGTAACCTCCTCACTACCCAAAATGGGTTCATTAATGGGTGCAATAGATTCCACACTTGTACCAGTGCGTATGTTGTTGAGCACCGCTAGGGAAGCTGTAAATTGTTTCGTCTTTCCAACTTTCAGCCGAGCCACAGTGTTTGTCGAAGATGATTTCACTGGTCGCGGTGTCAAGTTAGTTGGTGTAGACTTTGTAGGCCCCGTGTCTGTATGGCTTGCATGAAGCGTTACCTGGGGTTGAGGTAGAGTTGTTCGGTCGGCGGCCTTATGTTTCGGTCCAGGTCTTTCAGTAATGGTAGAACGTGTCACTTCCTTGCGATTGGGCTCCTTGGGAGTCGCAGCAGGCGGAGCGTGCTTGCCTGATCGGTGTATGTCACTTTTCAACGCTGTTTTGCGCTTTCTTCCGTCCCCAGGGTCAAACCAGCCGTCGTTAGGGCGAGGAGTCATTCCTGAATCGGGTGCATCCTGTGGGTAAGGGTGAGACCGTGCTGATGAAACTGGGGAAGGAGGTTGACGTTCCGGGCGCATTGAGTCATCCCGTGCGTGGTCAGGCGGTACAGAAATTCGCACCAGTAGTAGCGTCGTGCGAGCCTCCTCGCGTAACTTTTCCTTCGTAATGTTGAGAGAACTGGATAGACTTTGAATGTGAGCAAAACGTCCCTCTACATCCAGGTGGGTAAGCGTTAATTCAGGTACCAACGATAGCGAGTGATATAGCTTTGAAACATTGCGGTGGTGTATACTCTGGACGGTAAAGTCTTGGCCGGTGCATCTCGAGATTGTGTGGAATGGCGAGTAGCATCCAAAACACGGGACCCTCTGGTATTGACGGAAATGGTGCAAGAACAGGGAAAGTCCTGGCGCCGAGATAGGTGTGACTTGCCGAAGCTGGTGTGGGCATTCTGGTGTATCGAAAGTCAACAAGAAAAAATTCGAGTCGTAAAGTTCCGCCGACGCCAAAGGCGCCCGAGAGACCGAAACAATGGAACAGTCGACACTCGCAGACAGGAGCGCTTCTATGGCGCCAGCAGATACTCCAGTGGCAAGCACTCGAACCTGGTATCGGAGCGGATCGCCACCAAAAGCGTAGTTGTCAGACACATAAAGCGGTAAGTCCTCTCGCTCAAGTATTGTAGGTCATTGGAGGCGCAGGCGGCTTCCTCTGTACTCGATATCCTTGGAGTGCCATCCAAATGAAGCCGCTCGATCAGCAAGGGTAAAGGTGATTCGACGCGTTACACTATCGTAATGTGTGCGTTTCGCCGCGCGAACCAGCGTGCGAATTAAGATCGCCTCTGGCTTTTGGTCTTGCTTGTCCTCTAATAGCTGGAGAAGTAAAGTCTTCTCGGCGATGAAGCGAGGCATACGAATCTTGGGAAGAATAATCGCAACAACACTTCCTTCGAGGTAAGCCTCAAAAAAATCAAGCATAGCCACTCGCATAACTCAAATGTGTGTACACGATAGAAACCCTGGAGGGCTAGGAAGCACGATGCTTCCCATGATCCATGCGGCTAGAGCTTCTTCTTCCACTGCAAGCATCGGACGTAGTTCCGAGTCTGACTTGGCCTTCCACGGCCGCGTTGCTACTTTTATCCAGAGTTTCTGTTGAACATCCATGCTCTCACTGGCTTCGCTCTGCCCGACCGCGTCCTTATAGCTACAAGATTGGCGTTCAGGGGTGGTTGGGAAATCAGTACCGGGTAAGCTAGAGTCATCAGGAACCCCCGTGGGGACTTCCGAGTATTTAAAGGCGCACGAGTGCGCATTCTTGCCCATCGAGCCTTCGTCGGGAGCTGGCGGAGGTGGGATAGAGTCGTGGGGGGAAGCACCTGCGTCGTCAGTAGTACCGCTGCTCATGTCAAAAGGGGAGGCACACTTCCACGTGCCGCGTTGTGATTGGTTACGTGCACTATAAGGTGCAAATTTGGAAGTGTAGAGAGTGTAGTTGGTGGGTACATGCAAACGGTACAACATGAAGACTTAGGCAAACCATGAAAAAACGACAGGTGACACCGAGGAGGGGGGCGGTAGCAACAAAAGAGGCCTGGCGCGGTCACGAAGGGCCGACACAACATAAGCGAAAAAGCAAAGCATCGGTCGGGTAGGGCACACAAAAGTAGGTCGTTGACCTTGATGAAGGGAATTGAAAAAGCGAATAGCCAGCGCTCTGGAACCGCCGTCTGTTTGCATTGTGGATCCCTGCTTCAAGACGATCGACGTTTTTGGTGGCGGTGTACGATTTCGACTGTACTCTTCGCTGGACCATGTTAGCCTTTTTGTGACGCGCTGGTGGGATGCGACGGTACGCTTCATTTATATACACGATGTTGTTAACTGCGGTTTATTGACTTGTGCCAGATATCTTTTTGCTGCACTGTGTCTGGACTGCTTGAGGTATTTGTTGTAACTGGTATCGGAAATGTCCGAACGGATCGCTGTGCATTGGGCTCCTCAAAACTACACCACTTACAGATTTGAGACTTAGTGCGCAGGTCATACATCGTGGCACAAGGAAGGGTGCCTACTACTTACCTGCACTGTCGCCTTCAGCATCATGTTCAGCGGTGCTGATCCTCCGTCAGGGAGGTACTGCATGCTCGTACCGTGTGACCCCGTGCCATGCAGACACGTGGGGGCGGGCCATGAAGGCTTGGGAGGACCCGCTCCACCCAGGCGCCCCGAAGTTAATGAAGACGAACTCGAGAGCGGCGGCCCAGATGTCTTACTTAAGGAAGAATCTCAGCGAATTTCGTACGCGGCTGCGGTCGGCGGACTCGGCGATCACGGGTTTCGGCGATATCTGCCAATCGGATTGCAGCAATTTCAGCCGATCGCGACTTTTCGAGTTTCGGCGATCGGAAATGTCGAGTCTCGCCGCCCAGAAGTCGACAACTTTATCCAATCGGCACTCAACGATTTTTGCCGACCTGGACCTCGGCATAAATCGCCGGGCTGGTTTTGCCAATTTTAGCCGACCTCGTTCGGCGGAATTGTCTGTCCCGGGCCCCGACAACTTAAGTCCCTGTCACCTCCATCTACCGCTGCCTCTAGGCATGACACATTGTACCACCCGGACACTTTATCAGTCCGGATGATCGTGCCTCCCCGCTTGGAAATCAGTCCTCATGCGCTGCGAGTCCAGACGCTACTCTGAACCACAAGGCGGTTTTGCTACGTACTGCCATCATAGAGTGGATGGAGAAATCAGACGATGATCTGCGCCCGATGATTCTGCTTGAGAAGGAAGCACTCGCGGCATGGATGATGGGTGGTATCATGCTTTAGTCTCCGCCCGGGTTACTGGTAGGCACGCATCCGCGGGTAGTGATGCTTGATTTTTTCAAATCGTACCTCGAAGGCAAGGTTACCGCGATTGTTCCTTCGTAGGTGCGTATGACTCAGTACATCGCGAAGAAGAAGTTGCTTCTACAACTATTGGAACGACAAGAGGGGAGACGGACCCGATGTCATGAGTCGGGAACTGGTCAAGGGTGCCAAGCGGACCAGTTAGACGCCGACACGTAGCGCCTGACTTTACCTACGCCGGGTTGAGTGGCTGCTGCAAGTTGGCATGCCAAAATCATTTCGTTTTGCGGTAAGAGTCTTCAGCTGTTGTGTACGGCTAGCATGGAGCGCAACGAAATTGCGGCTCCATTGCTACCAGCTACGTCGCTGGGTAGTACCACTTGGACTATCAAGACCGGGTTCTCGTCAATTTAGTGGCGGGAAGCTTGGTTCAAGCTATTTTGGAGTCCAGTGTGTCCTGTGCGGAGACACCGGCGACCCTTAGATGCTCACACGGCTCGGAGATGCATAATTCGAATTTTTTGTGAAGACTTTCGACACGGTATCATGTCCCGAACAACTCAAGCTGGTTACGCACATCGCTACCTTCAACACGAAGATCTTACTCCACCATTTTCGGCACTTCCAGCGCGTCCCTTTTTTATCTGCTACACGTATCATCACTCTAGTTCCAAGTGCGGCGGACGCAAAGGCGCTTTTTACGTTCAGCATCACCGCGAGTTAACCGGTGTGTCAATTTCTCTACCTCACGTCAGCGGGTTGCCGGTAGCCTGCAGCAATTCTCCGGACTGGCGGACACTTTGGTGGCGACAACGGCGAAGTTGAAGGCGAATGGCGACAAGGCTCCTTCTTTAAGTAAGGCCTCGCAGGCATCACTTCGTGCTGCTCAATCGGGCGATTCCACCGCGTCTGCTCTCGCTGGAGGCCAGGCCGCTCGTAGCGGCGCTACTCGCTTCAAAGGTCCGTTGATGGCCGAGTGTTTCGATCCTTGCGCGAACATGAAAAAGCGTGATGTGCGTTTTCCGATGACGCCGTCCATACCGGCGACAAGATCTGCTGTGAATCCATTCGAGAGTCCGCAGTATGACATTGTCAAAGAATCAAGAAAATTGCTTCCCCCGAAGTCGACGGCTACTGCCTAGAACATCTCTACGATGTTGACCACCGTCACAGAAAATAAGAACTCTACTCTCCTTACTAGGTCCACGGAGTCCTACGGGCGTTACAACAACTACCCAATCTGCTCCAACGCCATCTGCTTCTATAAAGGCGACCAATCAGCGCACGCAGGCGATTCGTTCTATGGACTAATCCCTGCGTGGAGATCATGAGATTGTTACCGCAGTTCCAACTCCTGCCCCGGGATAAGACTCGTATATTCTTACGAAGGCATTGAAGGAGACGGCACTATAGTATTCTTTATCAAAAGCAGCGAATTCACTAATAGAGGCCGATGAAATTACTTGCGCAGCCACAAAGAAGCAGCGCGAAGAAGATACCAAGAAATCAAGCTTCTTCGACGCTCATGATCAGGCACTCGAAGAAGAAATTGCAATTGATACCCATGGAAATGTGGAACATGCTTCTCTCAACGAGGTCAGAAGATAATGGCGGAGGTTAGAGTACGATTAATGTGCCGCGGGTGCATTGGCGAACCGAGCGAACATGGATGCAACGACCGCAGTGAAAACAATTATAACTCTGACCCGCCAGTTGCCGAAGATTACACCGAAAAAGAAGCGCGTGACCGAATTCAAGGCCCCGCGAGAATTTACACCTCCCCAAGAGTTGCCTGCTATACTGGCGGAAAGATATAGAGAGCGGAACCGGTCCATGATCCAACGATTACTGGCCTCTTATATTAGCCTCAATCGGGAATTAACAGGTGGCCTCCAGAACCACCACCTCGCACGGTGCCGTTCGCGGTGTAGCCACATTATCCAGGTCCGTTATACCTGCCACCAACGGCTCCTTAGGAATCAGAATGTCAGTAGATACAGGATATCGATGTTTCGATGGCGGAGAGCACGGTTGCGTTTGGTGACACCATGTGCCTAAATGATCTGGATGAAGGGGCTTCGACTTCACCTCCATGCTCCCCTAGTGTATCTATTTCAGCGGAACTGGCCAAGGCGATCGAGGAAGAGCTCAAGGCCTCGTGTGAAGTACTCGAAGACCCCGAATTGGGTGCTTATGGCTCGTCGAAACGCCCTGACGTTCGTATGGGCGATCTATGTTCGGAGGTAGGCTCCGGTCCCCGATGGCGCACGTTCGCGCCTTCGATACTCACGACCATACTTTACGCGCAAACATAGTGCGGAAAGCTCCAGACACCACATCCACTGCGGTGGCGGCTACGGCTGTACCGGAGAGCACGAAACAAATTTCAGCAAACACTGCTGCGATTCACAAATGGGTCAGGCATCACAGAGCAGTTGCCAAACTACCGCATATCATGTCAGTTGGACCCAAGGGATAAGGTGAGTGGGTAACCACGTGTGCCTTGGAATTGGCGAGACTCTTCTCTGGTCTACCTTATCCTGGTGCTTATCTCGCCTCGATGCCGGGCGAAAACCTGCGTTCGTTTGGACATGCCATAAATAGTGAATCTCAACTTACTGTGATCCAGCAGCTCACCACACACGCCGATGCGAAACTCCGCGATCTGTGCACGGGTTGGGCCACCACGACAGATGGGCAAACCGGTCAAATACGATTAAGAACGACGGACAATATCCAACAATGGCGACGATTTGGCAAATTTCAGCCTGATTTGTTGTGAGCGACTGTCGTCGAGTCGTTTGCCGACTTAGATCATTAAGGAATCCTCAATGTTCGATACGTTTTGCTACCAAAGCTAGCACATATTGATATTGGGACGGACGTGGAAATGCCGAGAACAAAGGCTGAGCTATACCACCCCATAAAGAGGTGCGCGCGGCGGTCTTCGGCATTCTCTGCAAACCTGACAACTGGCACCCGGCTGTTGACCTTATCGCGCGCGATTGTAGGCTGCTGAAAACGCAGTACTGAGTGCGTTTTAAATAAGATAGTGGGTGATCCACTTCGGATAATGCCCCAACGTCGTCTCCGACTTCTGTTGCAAGAGTCCCTTCAGCAGCGCAACAACAGCATCGGTATCCATTTGCAGAATATCGCGGGGCTTCCTTAGCATCCGGAACACTGCTCATCTTGGATTTGTCACTTTCGACAGAGCGAACCAGCAAATCGATCGATTTTATTCTTCTCTAAGGAGCGCGAGACACGATAGGTGAGTCGATTACAATGGAAAAGCTTTACTCGTCCTCCTGAGGCTTTGTCTACCAGCAAGGACGCTCATTGTGGATAGAGTCAGAGCACTCTAGAGGTGGATTGGCGATGTTATGAAACCCCTACTCGTCGGTCACGGAAATGGTCCCGTGCTCTGAGGCGCATTGGACGCCGCACTGGATGGATGTTTATCTCACGCT